CATTGCATGGTTTGACCTTGGGGTGAATTTGCTGAGACAGACTCCTGAGAAGAACGGCAACTGTTTTGAATGTTTTTCCAATTGTTAATACACTTTCCCACTGAAAAATGATGAACTTCACATTGTTTGGAAATACCCTGTTAACCCTTCCCAGACTGATGGGCAGCAGTGATTGCTTCTGAACACTCCAGACCAAAACACTGGGTTATTGAGGTGCCCACACTTGCTGATGATCAGTCAATCAAGTGTTTGATTAGCAATACCTGGCTGCTACTTATCCACTTAATTCTTATGAAAGCAGTAAAGGTGTACAATGTTTCACAAGACTGCATAAAAACCTGTTAAGTCTTTCTTTTTTCACATGACTGTAAATGAAATGATTCTAGTCTGTATCTGGGGTGGCTGTAGCTCAGGGTCTAGAGCAGGACAACAACAAACTGGAAGTTTGGTGGCTTAACCCTTGACTGCTCCAGTTTCCAGTTTGCCTGTATCTTGTCCAAAGTATTACTCCAAGATACCAAATCTAAACTAGCTCTTGGATGTGAAACCAGAAGGTTGCCAGTTTGATCCCCAGCTCTGTCTGTCCTGGTTGTTGTGTCCTTGGGCAAGACACTTCACCTGCCGCCTACTGGTGTTGGCCAGAGGGGCCGATGACGCGATATGACAGCCTCGCTTCTGTCAGTCTGCCCCAGGGCAGCTGTGGCTACAACTGTGGTTTGCCTCCACCAGTGTGTGAATGTGAGAGTGAATAAATAGTGGAATTGTAAAGCGCTTTGAGTGTCTAGAAAAGCGCTATATAAATGCAATCCGTTGTTGTTGTTATTCATCAGAGTATGAATGTTAAAACATACATGCTTGTATGAACGGGTGTAAATGGATAATTGAAGCATGATGTCTAAAGCGTTTCAAGTGCTCAAGTAGAGACGAAAGAAAGAAAGAAACCATCACATTTTAGTTTTACTTTTTTCTACACTGCATTAACAAAGAATTTGGTTTTTAAATATAACCACCTTCAATGCTTTTTCATGCTTTAAGTACATTTTGCGATTATAACATATCATTTTCTATGTTTACTTGTAATGGAGTAATTTTTAGAGTGATAATGGGGTTTTTTTTTCAACTTGTATTCCTCTATCTCTGACCACATTAATCTTAAAGCTGTTTAGGCACTAGTTACTTTGAAGATCATGATTTTTACAAAAACAAGTGTACAGTTTAACCCCTTAGCAGTCCTACAAATTTACAATTAGTCCCCTAAACCATCCAATGTACCGTGGGCGGTACGTCCGACTGCTAACAGGTTAAAATGTAACAATGTATAAATGTGCTAAATTAGCTTCACCGTAACAAATGACAATGGTAAAAATACTTGCTAGAAATTGGAACTGACAATAATAATAAAACACAGGAGCATTGTTTTACATTATGATTATACTTTTGATACTTTAGTAAAAGTAGACAAACAGAAAACATACTTAAAGTGGCATTTGCAGTGTCGAGCTATCACTGGTAAGAGGTTGTTTTTATATAGCAGTACTACTATTTTTACTCATTTAAAGGATCTGAAAACTTCCTCCACTGCTGCTCACATCTCCAAAAACCAAACCCACAATTCTACTGTCAAAATCTCGTACCCTCCTATTTTCCCCCCATTCTCTTTCTAGTTTTCTTTCTCCGAGCTTTCGCCTTTGCAGCCATGTCTTTTATCACAGTTTTTACCCACAGAAAGGAATTCTCACAAGATATCAAAACAAAAATCTATATTTAATATGGGCGCAATTACAAAGCAAAGTTGGCTGCACAAGGCTGTTGTCACCAGAGCGCGTGTTTTTCATCAAATAGGTCATTAGATGATGATGGATGTAAACCTATAAAGTATCTAAACTGGACCTTTTAACAAACCACGAGCAACACTATCATTTCTCTAATAGAACCTGCTGACCGTGTCATTCCCTCCTGCCATTTGTCATTTTTCCTTGTGAAATAATCAATATCTGGGCGCTTTGAAATAAATAATATAAAAGTCATAGTAACCTACCCGAGGAGCAACAAAAATAGACTTATGGAGCATTCAGAAGGCCTATATGGCTTCTGGGCAATGTCTACTGCATGTTTCTAATCAATGCATAATATGAACTGTACTTTTAAAAAAAAAAAAAAAAAAAAAAAAAAAACAGACTACGGGATCTGAGTTTGTACAGTTTGTTTTCAATGTAAGCATTAATTGCATTCCTTCTTTTTCCCACTTAAGCATGGTTGTGTTTATGGAGTAAATATTACTTGTCAGTCATTTCTGTTGAGGCACATCACAATAAATAGGTACAAGAGTCAGTGTTATGCAGGGGTTAGAATATTAATACAGACTGGTGTTGTGACTCCAGTCTGTATTAATACATACAGAACAGTTTTCAAATTACACAGGTTATCACATAGATGATTATTGGGGATTAGATGCTTTTAAACCCTCCATTTGCTCGACTGTGCGTGTGAATGAGACTTGTAGTTAGAAAGTGCTTTGTGTGGTCAAATAGAGTAGAAAGGTGCTATATAAAGTACCGGTCCAGTTACAATTTCATAGGTACATTAAAGATGTTGTATCAGTTAAGCAAAACCCTATCTTATACTAAGAGCTGGAAAAGAAGATGACTTGTTTAAATTTCTTAACTGTTTGATTTTTTTTTCTTAATTCAACACTAAGCTATACGTATGAGAGTAAAGAGACTGGTAGAAAATAGGAGAAAAAAAATGTCAGTGAACTTGACATTTACTTAATGAAGAAAATACACCAAAATTTAACCATTTGTACAAAAATGCCTTGTTTTATAAGCTAGCTGTCATATAGTCCACAGATATGTGCGATGAATACTAATTACAGAGCTAAATTTGGCAATTCAATATTTATAGCTATACACAAAGTAACCCCTTTGATGTGAACCAATTTAGACTTATTAAAAAGTAGTTCAGGATTTGAGGCCATTGTCATGAAATGCTTTTTAACATTTAACAGTGCTGTATAACACAAATCCTGCAAAAAAACCCCAAAACAAAACAAAAAAACCAAACAACCTCAGCATCTTAGAGACAAACATAACTGGAACTTACTGATTTCAGTATTCTTATTGTAGTAAATTGATTTAAAAAAATTAAACTACTATAAGGGCTATATGAAAAAGTTCAAACAGGTGACATTTGAAAGATATATACAATTAGAATGATGGGGTTTTACAGTGGAAGTGTACACAATCTCCATCTCAGCCTTTGGAGTGCACACACATGCAATGCTGCCTATAAGGAAATGCTGTAATGACATCCCTCTTCCAGGATATCTCCACTTGCAGAGCTCACTAAATGAATTACACGTGGTAATTGCACAGACATGCCAGTGCATAGGAACTCTGATGCTGATGTAGAAAATGAACCATAATGCCGACTATAACCTTCATATCCCTCCTTATCTCTGCATATTATAGGGCTAATGAATGTCTTCAGGAAGCAGGTGATAATGATGATGAGGATTGATAGCAAAAATGAGTGCATCAGTCAGGCCACACATGTAATGAAACTGTGTTATAGGGCGAATAATCCATGTTTGTCCTGAATTCAAACATACTTTTTTGGTCTCTTTGGGAGAATTTTACCATAAATAGTACAGAGCTGCACATAAGCATAACTAAAATCCTCAATGTATACTGCAATATTTGTCTCCCAGTTTCCTTAATACCACATTATGCTAACACTCTTGCCACCTCACTGTGCTTAACTTAAACACACAAATATTTTCCAATATGCCACACACATGCAGTTTCTCCTTTTGGCCCACAGAGGACGCTGTCTCCTCGTTCTTCTTCTTCTACAGCAGCTTCCAACCAATGGACTTTTTTTTTCTTTTTTAAACAACTCAATTAATATCAATGAGTGAATATACATAGCACATTTACAAAGAGTGCAATCTGAGGGATGAATTAACCAAATCGATTAGGGAGAAAAAAATGACCGTGCGACCCGCAGACATTGTGGAAGTGGCCCTCGCTGAAAATCAATGAATTAGAAATATGAATCTAATCGCCCATTGGTGACACGTTGAGCAGCTGCAGCCTGATCTCACGCCTTTTTCATATCGTGTCGCAGAGAGCCAAACAAAAATTGAGGAACTACAAACGTGCTCTATTTAGCAGTTGCAGTGCTGGCATGGAGGCCATAGCACCTTAGTGATAGGCAAATGTAAGTGCTTTTTGTCAAGTAAATATGGAAATGTTAAAGATTATACAGGCTGGAGATTTATAAACTGAAAAACGTCGCTGAGGTTTTGCATTATGTTTTGTTTTTATTAAGGTTATTTTACAAGTAGAAGTAGAAGGCCTTATATTATCTTGACCTGATACTCTATCATGACTGGATTTTATTTATTTATTATGCTCGTTTTACACTATTCGCTTCTCATTAACAGCGATTTGTTTAAACGGACTCCAAATAAAAACATCACATTTAGGCCTCACATATTTGACGATAAGTTTGGACGTGCTTTAGCCAGCAGGTCACCCAGTTATTCTTTAGAATAGGCCTCGACTTTTTTTTTTGATGATCATTTAAAAAGTCATATGTAAAACGGTGTTTCGTTGGGATATATTACTCAAACAATTTCCAAAAACATGCGGGACGTGATTTGAGACTGGATTCAGAATAACCTCGCGCAGTAAATCTGGGTCTCGTTGTAATGTCAGCTGTATGATGGGACGCTTGTTCTGACGGTCCAAACCTCCCTTTTTGGCGGTAACAGCCCCGTGTTCATTTGCTGCTAATTGGACTATATGAGACCAATAACAAGCGAGCGCACACAGCCTGCAGCTAGAGAGCACAGAGAGGGGAGGACTCCCCCCCCTCCCTCGCTCTCTCTCTCTCTCTCTCTCTAGTCACCGTCTCTCCCTTAATCCCATTTGCCATTGTACATGCCCAATCGCCTATACTTTCCGCATTTAACTTGGATGACATTTTTATTTCATCATTAGCATCAGACACCAGACTGACTGACACGGTGGACCCAGTTTTTGCGTTTTAACGGAAGAGCCCGGGATGAGGCATCTCCATGTTTCTAAGCGCGTGTGCTCTTTTTGCCTCTCGAACAGTTTATTTCATTATTTTCTAGCCTAGACGGACGCGTTTCTTTTTGGTGAGCTTTTCGGCTGTGAAATCAAGTTTCAGAGAATAAAACAGGAACTCCTCGTAGCCAGGATAACGACAGCCTGTAAGTCAACATTGCCTTCCCCCCCTTTAAAAAAAAATCCGGCTTCCGTGGTCCCCTCGCGCTCAGACCACAACAACAGCGATGCCAGAGACAACGCAAGAGACGTGCGCTTCGGCCAAGGACTCTCCTTTCTTCATTAAGAACCTGCTGAACTGTGATAACAAACCGTCCAAGCCCAAGCCCGTACTGGCGGCCACCAAGGCAGCTTTAGAGGGAGGATTTTCCCTTTCCCAGGTTGGTGACTTCAACTTTCCACGCTTCGAACTGCCCGCACAGAGATTCAGTCTACCCGCTCACTACTTGGAGCGCACCTCAGCGTGGTGGTACCCTTACACCCTCAACTCAGCCGCCCACCTACACAGAACTGAAGGTAAGCAAACAACTGTTGCGCAATTATCCAACGAATCCACTGTTTTTGTATGAGTTCCTTCTAATGAGTAAGTAGAGTAAAGCAAATTTCTAAATTGAAAGGGGAGATTTGTGCGGTTTCCTGATAGGCATCATGCACACATAGCCTCACACCAGAGTGTATGATTTAACACCTTGTCCTCTGAAGGCCTATTTTGTTATGCCACGACGTGGGATAATAGATCAATAAAGAAACACACATAAAATGAAGTAGACATCATGAAATCATTGGAGGAGGGTGACGATGCGCAGCGTGCTTTTGATTTGTCTATTGGCGCACATCTTACCTCTGAGGCTTGGCTACTGGGAGCCTTTTATCTGCCTTTTTCTGTGATTTATTCACCTGGAATAAAAAAATAGACTAATGTGGATGGCATTATGATAGCCTAATACAAAGAAAGCGATATTATTTTACGCTTATTTAGTTATTTAGGCTGTAGTATAGGCTGATAAAAATAATGAATAAAATAGGTGTACATAGTTTATATCTTAGGTCTATTCAAATTACTGTTTAGTGGGGTAAAAATGACATTTTCATCATTTTTGAAGATGTTGTGTACAGTTATGTCTACCTCTGAAATGGTTTATGTCATGACGCAACGCATTTTCTTCTGCCACTATTTATTAGCAACCATCTGTTTCCCAAAACCCACTGACTGTCCAATATCAACAGGCTGTAATAAATGCCCGATAGACTCCAATATTTATGACTACGTCTCCCTGCATGTATCCCCATTTCAGTCAACGAGAAACCAGGAGCCAGAGACTCCTCTCCAACTTCGGGCACGGACAGAGACTCGCCGGACCTGGCGCTCAAATCCGAGCCAGACACCAAAGATGACGACGAGGACGACGAGCACAACAACAACAAAAGCAGTGACGAGATAATCCTGGAGGAAAGCGACACGGAAGAGGCCAAAAAAGATGAGCTGGAGGAGTGGAAGAAAAGGGACGATGACAAGAAGCCGTGCCGCAAGAAGAAGACGCGCACGGTGTTCTCACGGAGCCAGGTGTTTCAGCTGGAGTCCACCTTCGACATGAAGCGATACCTGAGCAGCTCGGAGCGGGCCAGCCTGGCCGCTTCCCTTCACCTGACGGAGACTCAAGTGAAGATCTGGTTTCAGAACAGGAGGAACAAGTGGAAAAGGCAGCTGGCCGCGGAGCTAGAGGCTGCCAACCTGAGCCACGCTGCGGCGCAGAGGATAGTCCGGGTGCCCATCCTCTACCACGAGAACTCGGCCTCGGAGAGCGGAGGGGCCACTGCCAACGTGCCCGTGAGCCAACCGCTCCTCACTTTCCCGCACCCCGGCGTCTACTACTCCCATCCCATCGTCACATCTGTGCCGCTGCTCAGACCAGTTTGAAAATAGTTGAGTTTTTAGGCACAACTTGGTGTCTGTTTCCTATATCAACTCATTAAAAAAGAAGAAGAAAGAAATAAAAAATAAAAAGGACAAAATATTTTTATACAACCAGTGAATGAAAAAAGAAAAAGAAAAATGAGAGACTGTTACTGTCAGGCTTTCATGGACCTATTTTTGGCAAATAGATTGTTTCATTTTTCATAAAGATGCCGTTTACACGTGATCTGACAATTTGAATCCCATTATTACTATTATTATTATTGTTATTATTATTGTTATTATTATTACCTCAGGAGTCCACTTGCTTACACTGCCTGATGAGTGTCTTTATTATTCGTTTTCCTCCCAGACTGCGTTTGTATCTGGACACGTCAGCTGTGTGACTAAAAAAAAAAAATCACCATGTTTACAAAAAGTGTCGGCCTGAAGTCGACATCTGCTCATCATTTAGCATTTGATTTTATTCACATTTCAAGAATTGATATCACGATGTGCAATACACGGCATGCTGTGAATGAATGAAACAGGAAACATACGTTTTGTCATCTGCTCATGTTAAAATATTGACAAGGATTTGATGTAATTATCATTATTTTTATTATTATTATTAATTATTTTTGCTTTATAAAGCGTTTGTTGGGGGACAATCAAGACACTCTGAGCTGTAAAATACCCATGTAGCTTTATGTTTAGTTTTAGTAATTCTCACTCTAGCCCCCTCTTCATGGACACGTCTTTGAAGCACAAGTGTGAGGTCCAGTGTCTCCTGAGCTTTGTGTTTTTTGAGCAGGAACGGCAAAAATATCGACTACCCTGGTGTACAAAATATGTAAATGTATATATTTAATGAGGCGCGGGGAAAGGCGATTCCTCATACGGCTTTTTCTTTGTACAGTTAAAACATCGTTTTGATATTGTATTGCTGAACCATGTTGTGAAATAAATGGAGAATATTCCGTACATTTTAACACATTTTTTGTCGTCTAAAAAAATAACAGGTTGTTAAATAGAGCTATGTTTAGCTTGTTTTCTATATTTTATGCAGAAAATTGAATTATTATAAAACAAACCCCAACAACTCTATAGTCGTGCACGCGTGCGCATGCCTGAATAAGCTCTCTAAGCTTGAGCAGGTGGGCTTCTGTAATCATCTTAGTGTTATGCACTTTGAAGCGTGATTTTACATAAAAAGTGGCTCGGTCAATTAGATGCGTAATTGCCACCATCTTGTCAAAATTATGGATAATGTATTCAGAAGTGGAAATTACTCCCTGTGCATGAGCTGCTGTCTTTTAACATTTTTCTCTCTCGTGACCGCGTGTTTTTTGTAGCTGTGTGTTGGGTTGTGTTGGCGTGCGTGTAAGGATGTCGGCATCTATGACAAGCATCCCCACCTGATGTTGCTAAACGCCGCGACCTTAACCATTCCTTTTCATTATACATACATATATGTATATATAT